AGGCAGCAGTGGCGGCAGCAGCAGCGGCAGCAGTGCTGCTTGTCACGAATCAAGGATTGCAATGAGCTCATCCTTTTTCTCCTTGCAGCTTCACAACTCCCTGGCTTCCTGGCTACTGCTGCTGCTGTCTGCTCACACACAGACACAGACACACGCACAACACTCAGCACAGTCTCTCTCTCTCCTGCTCTCTCTCTCTCTCTCTCTCTCTCTCTCTCTCTCTCTCTCTCTCACACACACACACACACACACACACACACACACACACACACACACACACTCACGACCCTTCTAAGCATCTTGTACATTTTGACACATGTATCTGAACTGTCCTACATCATTCTTGGCCATTTTCTTGCATTCCATTGCTGTATTTGATTTCATTTTCTGGTCTACTTCGGGGCTCTTGCACCATGGCTAATTTAGCCAAAATGTTTTTCTTGTGGAGACGTTAGCTGACAGTTCCCAGAACGGACTGGATTGTGCTTGATCTTGGGGAGACCAAAGCCAGGCTCCCCTCCCACTACACCTCCTAAAATTTGTGGATGAGAGTTCCAGCTTGCTCATTCTGGATACCTACTTACTGCTCATGGAACAAGGGGTGCCCTGCCCAGCCCCAGCTGCTAAGCTCACTCCTCCTGTCAAAAAGTCCCAGGACATGCACGACGAGAGGACCAAGCTGGTGAATGAGTATGCGTGTCGCGTGCTGGAACTTCTGGGGATGGGGCATCGCCTGTTTGTGCCTCGGCTTCTGGCGGTGAGACTGTTTTTCATTGAACTTCATTTGGGGGGAATCTGCCACCCTCCGTGAGGATTCCTAGTGTCCTGGAGGTGCTTGCAGTCTTTTCTTCCCCCCCTCCTTTCTCACTCAACCGAGAAGGAAGTGCCGAGTAGCTGTGGCCAGAGGCTCTACCCAGCCTGGTCCTTAATTGGCTAGAGGAGACAGTTCTTTTCTCAGAGCCCAGGGCACGGTAGTGGCATTATCTCTGTGGCAGAAAAATAAAAAAATGGTTTTCTGGCTGGCTCGGCTCCGCAGTAAAGCAGAATACTCAAGAGCTTGATGTAGGCATCCTGTGCTTATGTCCCCAAAGGGTTAAATTGTGTCATAGATGTTATTGCTACTTATCTGGACTGTGTGTGGTTTGCTTTCTAACCTCCCCATTTGATTACCGATTTGACTTTTTTTGGGGGAAAGGGGGTGGGATAGGGAATTTTATCCCATAAATATTTTGTGTTGGAAATTGTACATTTCTCTCCTGGAATGTTCAAACTGTGTATCTATGAAAGAGCTTAAAACTGTTGAGTCTGTGCAGTGGATCTGGGAAGTCTGGCTTGCTTGTTTTTTTCATTTCCTGAACAAGAGAAAAATCACCTTTCCTCACTTCCTACCAAGGGTTAAAATTAATACCCACAATCACTGGCGCAAGGTTTCTTTTTAGTGGCTTGAGAACTACACCTAGCAACTGTTCTCTAACGTAATTGGGCTGCAGTAGTCCTAAATTATTATTTGGTATTTGAACAAGACTAATTTAGCTTTGTCTGTTTTATACAATGGAGTTTAATACCGTTCTGCTTGTTCCCTCATTATGGTTCTCTCACATTTGAGTCTTTTCAGAAGTATAATATTGACTCGACTGAATTTAACTCTTTTCTCTCACATATTTCCCTCCAGTATAGCTCATCTTTGTTTATACTTATCTTTACCATTATTAATTTAGTCTTCACATACTTATTTGCATACAAATATAATATCCAGCATAATCATAACAGACATGTTAGGCAGCCACATCCATAAGGGATTTCTCACCCTGAAGAGAGTCTGTTTATCATTCCAAGATTAAGATAGATGCAAGGACAAGCATAGCATGTGTTTTAATGCTCAGATGAGGTCATCAATGCTCATTTCGATTTGTTTTTCCTGAATCACATTTTTTTCTTAATACAGGAGAAAATGGAAGGTTCATGATTCTATTAGAAAAGTGTGTCATTGTTTTTTTAAGGGAAATAAAAAAATTTAAGTGAAATAAAAAGTGTGTATTTCAGGAGCTTTGACACTAAAAAGTGCTAAAATATATATTCTACAAATTCTCCTCATCTCTGAGGAATCAGTTTTGGCCAAATACATTTCCATATTCTTAAAGACCACTCAGCTTTGTGTCACCAGGACTTGAACTGGTAGCTTTCTGTAATTTGGGACTGCCTCCTTTTTACATTTTCAGTGTTTTAAAGGAAAAAATAAACTGGTAACTAAGAATGTTCTCATACTCAAATCTTCATTAGAGATTAATTTAAATGGCCTCTAGTTTAAAACACACTATTCATGATAAAATCCACAGGGAGTTAGGTTCCCAAGCTCCAAGTGTTAGGAAGGTCACATGTATCTGTATGTTGCAACTGTGCAGTCAGCCTGCTTACCCATCTGAGGAAGTACATCCCTGGGGTTGTTTTAGGCTCTAAAATTCAGAGTCTAGGTCATAGTGTCACATACAGTACCTGTGAGAAGTATATGCCGACTGGTCAGAGGCCATTTGGAAATCTCTGTTGTTGTTATACCGTGTTGTACTTAAAGTTTATTCATAGAATGGGATACTCTATATCTTGGCAAATCACATGCCCTTTCATTAGCAATAATGGCTGTGAATTGGGATCAGCTATCCAATGAGTTACTGCTCAAATTTTAGCACGTGTACTGGGGGAAGTACAGTTGTTCCGACCTGTCTAATTGGACTGGCTAATGATATGGGATCAGTGGCTGATCTGCCCTTGATGGGCCTACAAGGAATCCTGCCACATGCAATATTGCCATCTTTCTGGTACCAGTTAAGGGGTCAGCACTGGAGTTTAGGTCTTTTGTCATGTTTTAAACATGAACATGTGTTAGTTAAATACATTCACATACCCAATTTTGCTTTAAAGATCCCAGTGGTTTTTTGTGTGCAATACAACTTAACTTTTTACTGAAGTTGTTCAAATAAAAGGAGATTAACCTCGATGGTGTTGTAGATTTGGACTTTGAGCCTTAGTTATTGCTCCCTGGTTCACAGAGGGGCCTTAGCCTGCTGGGACACCAAGCACATCATTGTTCATCAAAGGTAATCGTAGTCAAGAATAACTCTCCTTAACAAATCAAGTGCCACACACTTTATTGTAGACTAGAGGCCTGATACATGAAATCCGTGCAAGAGTAGTCCTTCCTTCCCCCAGCTGCCAGCACTGGCTTCCCTCTGGCACCCGGAACCCAGGCTTCCCTTGCAGTCCTGGCTTCATCTGGAAGGTCATCCAGAAGGACTCCTGAAGGACGTCTGGTCTAATTAGCATATTATACTTTTTTTTTTAATAAATATTACCGAAAGGTGTACATTCTGTAGGTAGATTCACCAAATAAAAGTTTCTTTGTTGAAATTAAAACACCAAGAGACATAGGTGTCTTTGATACCAGCTAAGTAATGGTTTCATCTTCTAAAGCCTGTGCTTCCAAATAGTGCTCAACTGAATAGAAATCTTGTTAGACACTCTATATAACTAAAGGGAAAAAAGCCAATTTGTGGTGAAAACAGCAAAGGTGAGAAAAAGAATCATGTCTAGACGTTTTTCAAATAATTCCCTAAGATAATCTAACGTAGAATTCGCTGCTTATCAGAGGCCCTTAAAGAAAGATTTGTCATCGAGGAACAGTTAGAGGTTTGGGATAGAAGCACTGAGAGCTGACACTGAAACATCAGAATCATCCCTTTCCACTCACTCTGCCTCCTTTAAAAAATCGCTTTAAAATGTGAAGCTGTAGCATTGAATTTTTCAGTGCGAAGAACACACTCAAAATGGTATCAGCTGAGACACACAGCTAGAGACCACACTCTTGTAAGTGTGTGAGATTTGGAGAAAGAGAAAAAACTTTTACTCTGCTTATGTTCAAAATCTTTCCCCTCTAGATGTTTTCACCTTTGGCTCTTATTTTTAAGTGGTTGTTATTTCTTAAGGAAGTAAAATTTGCAAACAATAGTTTTCATAAGAAGTTCAGTAGTTAGCCAAAGCCGGTTTGGCTCAGTGGTAGAGCGTCGGTCTGCGGACTGAAAGGTCCCGGGTTCAATTCCGGTCAAGGACATGTACATTGGTTGCAGGCACATCCCCAGTAGGGGGTGTGCAAGAGGCAGCTGATCTATGGCTCTCTCTCATCGATGTTTCTAACTCTCTATCTCTCTCCCTTCCTCTCTGTAAAAAATCAATAAAATTATTAAAAAAAAAAAAAAAGAAGTTCAGTAGTTAAGTGGCTTACTTCATTTACTTTTCATAGCATTCTTTATTTTATTTTATTTTTTAAGTTAAATATATTGGGATGATATTGGTTAATGAGATTATTATTGGTTTCAAATTTACATTTCTATGCCACATGATCTGCATTTTGCATTGTGTGCCCAAAGTCAAGTAATCTTTCACCACCATATATTTGGTCCCCTTTACACTTTAGTACTCTTCCAACCCCCCTCCCCTCTGGTAACCATAGCATTTTTTAAGGTATTCCATCAATTTCTTATTTTCATCATGAGCTGCTGAAAAGCCATCCTCCAATAAGGTGTTTATTATATAACTCGGATGGGCTCTGATTACATTGTCTATGTCTTCAGCAAGCTTTGTAATAATATCCAAAAAATGCCTGTAAAGTCACAGATTTGTCCCAGGCTTTCAATTCCCCCCCCCCATCCCTCCCCCCCAACATTTACCTTTCTCTCACATCTGTAACTTGGTTAGCATTGCCATGATTCACCATTGAAATCTTTAGGCAATATAAATTAAATATGTTAGCCTGTTAATTCTTATATTGCTTCTAGGATTTATGGTGACTTATTTGAGTCAAGAGGTTAGAAATCTTTCTAAAATGTTTTAGAACTAATCTAGACACTAGCTGTAAAAAGTGCATTCTAGAAAATAGAAATTCTTTTTTCAACACGTGTGTCATGAATGCAGACTAAGATGTCGTGATGATCTGGCTGATTATTTTGCAGACCTCAAAGGAAGATCTTCTGCAGGCTGATTTTGAAGGGGCTTTAAAGTTCTTCAGAGTTCAGCTTCCAAAGAGATACAGGGCAGAGGAAAATGCAAGAAGATTGATGGAGCAGGCTTGTAATATTAAGGTAAGATACACAAATTTACATGTCATAAAGGTGGAACTTGAATGCATAATTATGTAAACCCAGTCCCGGTGTATGTTGCTGGATTTTGACTGTGTTTAAGGTGATGTGTGTGTGAAATAGTATCTCCCGGACTTTTTTGTCAGGCTGATAAGTATATAGTAGCCATACCTTCTAGTATGATTTAGAGTGAAAATTGGCAGGTTCAGATGGCAACAATAGGAAGACAAATATTTATTTTATAGGTAAGACCCTCGAATGGGCTGCTGTGATAGTGGTTTCCATGGCAGAAGACCTAGTAGTTAGCTTTTACCATCTGTTTTAAGATTATTTAGGACAAAGCAAGAAAAGTCTACTTAGGCATTGCTTTCCTTTCTCTAAGGGACTTGGAAAGCTTTGAGGCTTTATCTGTCCATTCACATCCCACACTTGCCAAATACTGTGGATAGATTGCTTCTTATCATATGTCTGATAAAACTAAACACATTATATAAAATAATTTGAAATAGAAATCTATCCAGAAAGTTTTAGTATCAAGGTGAGAGGTCACTTTTTTTTTTTAAATTTGGCACCAATTTACCTTGGGACTATACTAGATATATACTAGGGAATTTTGTTATCTCACCATGATATTAATATACATTTCTTTTCTGAACAAAGATCCCAGGTCTTATGGACCTTACTTTCTTGCATAAGGAAATAGAGAGTGAACAACATAATAACTAAAGAATATATTTAATATGTTAGGAATGGATCAATAGCTATGCAGAAATAAAAAGTAGGGGAAAATAAGCAATGTGGGATCAGTAAAGAAGGAGAAAGTTACTATTGTTTTAAACAGTAACAGTTGCAGGTAAAAATTAACTCATGACCTCTGTTTGTGGCTTATTTCTGATTGTACCAACAGGATGTATTATTGAATCATGGTGGATTATATAAATATCAGGAATATTTTTGGTGTTTATTTTTTTCTAATTTAACATAATTTCCAAGTATTCTGTTTCCCTCAGCTCCTATGGTTTCAGCCAGGCTAATATCAGAAATATGCTGACCTGTCAGTCTTTTTGAAAAAGTCATTTGGTTACTTAATACTTAATATATGAATATCCTGCACTTGATTGGGGAAGTCAGCTTTTGTTTAATATCACCATTCAATTTTTACCTTATAGTTAAAAACTCTGGCTCTACCCTGTTTGGCTCAGTGGATAAAGCATCGGCCTTCAGACCAAAGGGTCCCAGGTCAATTCCAGTCAAGGGCATGTTGCAGGCTCCTCTCCAGCCCAGGCCCTGGTTGGGGTGTATGCAGAAGGCAACCAATTGATGTGTTTTTCTCAAATTGATGTTTCTCTCTGACTTTCACTCTCATCCACTCTCTCTAAAAAAAGATCAATGGAAAAATGTCCTTGGGTGAGGATTAACAACAACAAAATAATCCAAAAATTTGTAAAAGAAATCCAACAGAAGGCTTGCAAAATAAACTTAAGAAAACGACTTAACAAAAAGACTTAAGATAGGAGAGAAAAGAGACAAGTTCAGTAGGGGAGGTTGGACAACTTTATAATAGGAGGAAGTGCAAAAAAACAAACAAAACCTCTGATGTTGCTTAGCTTCTTAAACTTGGATCTTAGCTTCATGAACTTTGAATCAGTAGAAATTTGTATTTATTTATATAAGCATATGAACATTTTTCCTCTGGTGAAACAATATATAGTTTTCATTGGATTCTTAAAGGCTGACTAAAAAAATCAGCCTCTATTGTGAGACAATCTGAAATTTGTTAATAAGCAAATTATATTTTTATAGAGTATAAGAGCCCATAAATGGGATACCTATATATATTCAAGTGCATATACACATAACCTTTATAATTAGTCTTGATCTGATTGCTTTTTTTCTATATATTTAGTATTATTTATATTATATTAAGTTGAATTGATGAAATTATTATTCTTGTTGGTAAAAAACCATCAGATATTAGACGTTTGTATATAATTTAATTCAATATTTTATGCCTTCTTTTGGTTCAAGTAAGTGCTATGTATGAAATATTAAAAGTTTTAATATTTTAATTGTAATGAATTTATTTAGCTGGCATTATTCTGATAATAATAAAAGGGGAATTAGAAGAATAAAACATCTGCATACACCTTAGGTCTATGGACATGTAAGAATGGGAAGCAAGTCTTTTTTAAGTTGGTTTTTATTTAGAACAATTTTGCAAATGCCATGTTTATGATGGGCTTCTTTAATAGCAAGGTTCATCACATTACTCAAAATATTCTATTGGTAGGTCTTTATAAAGCCTATTTTGTTTGTGTTTTATTAATAAAATAGCTTGAGTAAAGTCAAAACCACAAATTCTGACATTATTATAAATTAAAACATGGCAATTAGGAAAGAAAGGTAATCTATTGAATGCCTTTTGTATGCAAGGGGACTTCTCAGAGGAAGTAAGAGTTAAGGTGAAACCTCAAGGATTGGAAGGACTTAAGTTGTGTGTAGAGGCAGAGGTTAGGATGTTCCCTGCAAAGAGTATGCAGAGGTCCAGAGGTAAGAACAGATGGAGCAGTCCAAGACCTAAGCTAGAGGTCATGACTGGAGAATAGGGAATGAGGGGAGTGAATAGAAGACTAGAGAAGTAAGCAGCAACCGGGCAGCTGGGAGAGCCATGAAGGCCACGGTAAGCAATTTGGATTTTATCCTAGGGGCAGTGGGAAACCTTGAGAGGTTTTAAGTAGGAGTCAGAAGTAATCAGATTTTTATTTGAGTAGGGACATTCTGGCTGCTATGTGGAAAGTGGATTGAAAGTGATGAGGTTCTTCTATATTGGTGACAGACCATCCAGGTGAGAAATGACCCAAGCATTTGTTAGGGGCTGGAGAAATGTAGACCGATTCCAAAGGTATTCCACAGAGAGAATCAACAGACACTAATGACATACAAGATTCTTCATCAACTTGGTAGTAGTCACTGCAAACGGGATAAACAAAGGAGAACACATTACAAGGATGAAAGATAATGATTTGTATTAAACATGTTAAATTTGTGGTGTATATCCACAAATTCATGTTCAGGTACATAGAAATATCATGAAGGCAGGTGGATATTTAAGTGAGATCTGAGCGAAAAGTAGACATTTGTATGTCATCATTATTGAAACCATAGATGAATTCTCATAGAGGAACCCATAGAAGGGTTGAGGGTAGGTGCATTAATACATAAAAGATGGGCTGAGAAGTAGAAGCCAGTAAGAGTGGGAAGGCAGAGGAAACCCAGAAGAGTATGAAGTGTGAACACTAAGGGGAATTGTATCTGTTTTCACTTAGGAAGATATTGGAAAGTGCTTAGAGGTCATATAAGGTACCCAGGAGTGAAAAGTGGTCATTGTGCAATAGTTAATGATAAAGATGTCCTTAATGGCCTTATTGAGAATGATTTCAGTGGATGATGAATTATAAAAGCCAATGATTCAAGCAATATATGGAGGGTGAGTAAATGGAAAGAGGAGAATGAAACAACTCCTCTTAGAAGGTTCTTATGGGGAGAACAAGGGGGGTGAAAGAGACAGCCGGCAAAGTAGAGTACAAGAGGCAAGATAAGTAGACATCAGCTTGAGATGGATTTTTGGAGGATTGGAAGGGTGAGTCTTTAAATGTTAAAAAAAAAAAAAAAAAAAAAACTCAATGAATCAATTTCTTCATTGAGCACTTAATATATGCCAGGCAATGCTAAACCCAGGGAATACAAGATTGAATAAGAGTAGTTATTTTTTTAATAATATATTTTTTATTGATTTCAGAGAGGAAGGGAGGAGAGAGAGAAACACCAATGATGAGAGAGAATCATTGATCGGCTGCCTCTTGTATGCCCCCTGCTGGGGATCAAGCCCACATCCAGGGCATGTGCCCTTGACCAGAATTGAACCTGAGATCTTTCAGTGCACAGGCCAACACACTATCCACTGAGCCAAACTAGCTAGGGCTATAAATTACTGTTTTCCTCTGACACCTTCATATTTGCAACCATAGATTTGAACTTGACTGGTTGGAAGTAACTTTCACACTAGAGCAACACTATAAAGAATATTTGTATTAAAAGCAATTTTCCTCTAGTTTCTTCATGCTGCTTTTTATTTCTGGCTGTTGTTGCTGTGTGTAAACAACAATGTAATCTTTCAAATGGAGGCTTACTTAGAATTAGCAGTGAGACCACCCAAAAGCTTTTGTGGACTCCATGCAACTAAAATGTGTGCCATTCTGTGCACCATGAAGAGGGTCATTTTCAATCGTGTTCTGTTCCTGTAAAGGCTCTACATGGACAACTACAGTTGGGAATATTTGGTATAAAGCGTCATAGTCTGCTGGAGAAATATTGTTATAGGATACAGAGACATGATAATAAACAAATTGATAATGAAATAGTTTCTATATAAAAATATTTGCCTCTTTTTTCTTTGGAGACTTTTATTATCATTTATGATCTTCAGTGTGCCTCAGATTGGGACACTGGTTTTGTTTTTCCCCCAAACGGGCATTCATACAGTTTGATCTCGCCTCTCATAAGTCATGCATTGTGGGAATGAGTGGGGAACATGTTACAGCTGGACAGGCTCTGAAACCATTACTAACATGTGGAGAAAACAGGCCAGAGCGCCAAATGCCCAGGCCAAGGTCCCCTCCACACTCAGCCCCTCCAGCTGTTCTGAGTCAGCTGGAATGCATTGGTCTCTTTTATTACTTCTGCCATTTTATTCTATCATTATACCCACTTCTGCATGTTATTTTCTTTCAGTTTATTGAGAAAGCCATGTAGACATTTTAAAATGATGGGTGACCCTGGCTATTGTCTCATAAGCTAATCCATATAAATCATCAAATTATTTTACCCCAAAGAAAAGTAAGATAAGTAGACATAATTTTTTTATATGGGAGTCTCTCTCTTCTCTCTCTCTCTCTCTCTCTCTCTCTCTCTCTCTCTCTCTCTCTCTCTCTCTCTCTCTCTCT